TTGGAGAAGGGGAGGAAGAAATGGAAGAGACTGTTTTATTAACAAGTACTGACCAACCTTCCAACCAATCTTCCAACCAACCTTCTAACCAATCTTCTGACCAATCCTCTAACCAACAACCTTCCGATCAATCCTCCAACCAACAACCTTCCGATCAATCCTCCAACCAACAACCTTCCGATCAATCCTTCAACCAACAACCTTCCGGCCAATCTTCCAACCAACCTTCTGGCCAACCTTCTGACCAACTTTCTGACGATGATTATCTTGAAATGGACGATTGATGGTAGTGATGGTGGTGGTGTTGTGATGGTGGTGATTTCCTATATTTTGTATTCTATTTACCTATTTTTCACTAATAACTGATCCCCCCTCCCCTGCTTTTGCGAATTTTATGTATATTAATTAGTACATACAGTTAATTTTTTTTTTTCTAAAAATACTTCCTTCAAATAATATTATTGTAATATTTCTTTTTTCAATTATTTCTTTAATCATCCAATGATATTCTTTTTTATAAAAATCTTCGACTTTCTGCCTATTTTTTCTTTATTAAATATCATTCCTTGTATATTTCCTTGTTCATTTTGTACACATTATTTCATCATGTATAGTCAAATGATAAATTTTCAGTGGGTAATTAGGAGAATTATTAAATCTTTTAATACAATTGGTGACAAAATTGTTTATTATTTAGAATAAATCATTTATTAGCTTATGCAATATAAAAATAATGTGGGTACATACATTTTTATTATGATTTCCATCATTGTTCGGTTTACTAGTAACAGTTAAAATAAGTCGGCCAGTAGTATCGAATTTTTATTCTTCCGAAAGTCTTAGATCAGATAAAATCATAAAGCACATTTATTGAATGAGCATCAATCGGCTACATACAAATCATCTATTACAACTATTTGCAAAATAACGGACCAGCTAATTCTATTTTTGATTGCGTATGAATATTTCATACGCAGCCATACGCAGTCATATACGCATAGTTAACTGCTAGAATTATTGTGATATAACTGCGGATGATTACATATGAAAAACTCAAAAAATGAGTTTGACGGTCCGGGCAGATATTACCATGCGTATGACTGCATATGAAAATTTCATACGCAGTCGAAAATGAATTAGGTGGTCCATTATTTTCGCAAATAGCTGTAAGTGGTCCGTTATTTCGCAAATAGCTGTAATCTGTATTAATCGGACATATGCCTGATTGGTACCCGATTGACAATAATTCGACCTGCTGATAGCTGATTGATTACTGATGGTCAACAATATCCAATCGGCAACCAATCGGTCAACTTCCAATATAGATGACAGATGGCTGATTGTTTACCGATTGTTAAACTGGCACCAATCAGTCACCAATCTGCACCAATCGGTCATACAACTGATGTGTAGCCGATTGAAATAAATGCCTGATTGATGACCGGTTGGTATCTGAATGAATGAATCAGTAACAGATCAGCTACCAATCAGGTACCAATCAGTTATATGACCGATTGATGACCGGTATATTATATTTCGACCTGTGATGCTTGGTATTGCCAAATTAACTGTTGACAGCATTCATATCGTGAATTACAATAGTAGAAGACCTCAAAAATTTTTGTAGCAGCTTGATCAAGTTTATTGATCAATCTTTGCTCCTCAATCATAGATACACTATAAGGAGATATATTATATCAACAATAATTATATACAGTATGTAGATTTATAAATATGATTTATTACAAGAGAGATTTTATTTCTCAACAATAATAATATGGACAATAAATCAAAATATAATTAGTGGTAGCAATACAACATATACTCACATTTCCCGATGTTCTGCCACTATAGAATAATTTATACAAACATCTTTTTTACTATAGAAAATGACATTTGTTGCTGTATTTCCATCATGACCTGCACAACCTGCCTCTTGAATAAGATTAGCTTTATAAAAGAACAAATACAATAAAAATAAAATAAAATAGAAGTAAATCAGATGAGTATAATATAATTACTTATACTCATCGGTGCTCCTACATGAATCACTACGTGTATATTGCTTGAATTGATTCCCATTCCAAAGGCAGATGTTGCAACCATTATTTGTATTTGATTAGATGTCCAATTATTCATTGTTGTTTCTCTTTCATCATCACGTAAACTACCATGAAAGTAACCTATTGAAACATCTGTTAAATTTTCCTGTAACTTGCTGTACAAATACTCACAACTGAAATGTGTTGCACAATAAATAATAATATGTCCAAGTAAATTGGCATTTATGATATCAATAATGTCATTAATATATTGATCTCGGATTTCCTTTCTCTCTTGTACATTAAAAATAATCTCTGGTCGGTGACTTGTAGAACTACAAATTATTGCAAAATTATCCTCTTCAATAGCCAAATTTGCACGAATTTCATCTACTTCTGATTGTGTGCATGTTGCTGTAAGTAGCATAATCGGAGCTAATTTCCAACGTTGTTTCAATATTCCAAGTCGTCCCCATGCTTCTCTGTAATATATAAATAAAGTACCAAAATTGTATAATTTCATTACTAGTAGTTAATTCACTTTTATGTTAATTTGTTTATTATATTTACCTAAAATCCTGATATGCGATAATACAATGTGCTTCATCAATTACAAAGCGAACCTTTTGTTGTTCATAAAGTCGTGTGATAAATCTGCAGAACCCTTCATTAGATACTAATTTTTCTGGTGTAACAAATAGTACCTTTATCAATCCACATGCTATTTCTTCAAAAATTTTTTCTTGAACACATGCTTCTTGTGCTAAATTAGCGTATAAAATGGCACATGGAACACCTGCTTTAATAAGTTCTCGCTGAACATAAAAATAAAATTAAATAAGTATAGAAAAAAAATAATATAAGAAAAAATGTTATCCAACCTTTTGATCTTCCATAAGCGCTTTGAGAGAACTAAAAACAAGCCATTAAAACAAATGGCAGATATAGTATAGCACAAAGTTTTTTCACCTTAGTTTTCATAGATACAAATGTATCTTTACCATTCAAATAAGAAATTATTGCTTCCAACTGACCTTCTCAAAATTCATTAAATTCAAAAATTTTTTTCATAGCAAATAATACTAGTGCTTCAATTATAGGTGACTCTGGTTGTATTCCTTTGGGTATGAATTCACTATCAATTATCCATTCCCATAAACCTGCATCCACATAAAATGAACAAATACCACACAAACCACATGCACTCTTTTTTGCAAATAAATGACATACTACGCACTTTATTATCACGTCAAAATCTGTTAAAAGATTACCAAAAGATGGCCAAAAAATATTTTTACGAATTTGTTCTTGTGTCTTGCTTTTATAAGATACTAACTCTTAAAATAAAAAATATAAGTAAATATTATTTACATATACAAAATAAAGACATATAATAAAATTACCTTATCAAAATCAAAGCCAACAAGTTCCTTTCTATCATTTGAAAACTTCTTCTTTCTTATTTCATTTCGTTGTTGAATTGTATTATGATTTCTAACATTTTGCTGAGATCTTTCTTGAGCAAATTTTAATATATTACATATATCAGAATGTGAAAAATCCTTTTCAGTAGCTGCTATGCGAACTTTTGAGATCATGACATCTAATCCATCATTTTGATCAAGTACTGCTAATGCATGTCGAGTACTATATGAGGCCCAATAGTCAATTTGTTTATCCAGGTATTTGAGAATTTTGCTGTTAAATGCTTTATTATGTGATATTGTGACACGCCGCCCATAGGATATTAAAATAAAATATCGTATGTTGCCACCGACGTGTTGAGTTCGTATAATATCTATGCTTGGTTTAAAATAAAAATTAGTTACAAAACATTAATAAACCATTAATTAAAAAAATAATTAATGTGGCACTTTTTACTCATAAGAAAAAGGCTAAAAGAATGTGTTAGTTTATTATTAAAGACGAACTAAAATTTTTATTTTTCAAAAAAAATTGAACTGCCGAATTTCCTATCGAAATCCACTTGTATTTATACATTTTTAAGAAAAATATTTCTAATATTTCTAATATTTCTAATAAAATTTGAAGATCTATTATCACATGACTATCTCGTTACACTAAACTAAACTATAAATATAATTTTATTGGCTAATTATTTACCCATCGGCTAATCATTTATCCTTATTTTATATTATCGTATTTTCAGTTATTACAATGTAATCCATAATTCTCATGTTTTCATCGCAAATAGAACATGGCGAGTATCATTCTCAGGCAAGATGGGCATTTTGGAAAATATTGACATATGATTATTTTTACCCAAGATAAGTGAAGTCTGATATCAAACAAAAGAATTTGAGATTCATTTTGAAAGATCAAAATGATTCAAGTTTTTCTAAGTTTAAAGCTATTTTTTTGCTTAATATATTACTTTCAGTTAATATAAATTTTTATTTAAATCTTTTAACAGAACAGCTAACGAAGTTAGAAAATTTTTAGAGAAACTCAAGGTTATCTTCAAATAAAATTCAAACCGCGATTCCTTCTTCTTTGAAGTTTGAAGGTTGATACTATACGTAACATCTTAATTACTGTTACTGCAACCTATTTCTTAAATACTGCGAAAAATAGAAGCAGATTTTTGTCACGTTCAGCGCAGTATATGGTTCAAATAATGATCACCATATTGGAAGAATTAAGCATTGATGATTTACCAAATTTGTGATTGTATTTTTAAGGATTTTTAAGGGTAGGGTCAATGTTGATCATTTTAATTAGTAAAACGCCTCCCTAAAATGTAACGTGAAAGTTGTTTATTATAATTGAATTTTCTCAATAAATATCAAAGAAATTTTAAACCACCACTAATTTCTTTTCAGGAACTCTTAGTTTTTATCTACATCGGGAAATTTTTATAGAAGATATACATTGATAATTATCACTTTATCGATAATCATCCCATTTTATCATACCAAATAAATCGATAATTAACGATTATCGATAAATAACTGGAAAAATATAACAATATTTAACATTAATGATATTTATTGATAATAATCTGAAAAACAAATAATGATATTAAGTGTTAAAAGATTTTATCAATAAATTTCTGTAAGTTTTTTAACATTATTGATATTTATTAATAATTATCTGAAAGATAAATAATGATATTAAATGCATGTTAATTTTATTGATAAATTTCTGTAGTGATAATTTTCGTTTATGTTACTTATTACCATAAGGAAATATTAAAAATAAGTTACGAGAATTCTTTATTTCACAATCACGTGTATCATATCATGTGACACGTCTTTGATTATACTAAGATGCGATTTTTTAAAGTTTAATTAAACACTTCTTTTGCCATTTCCCTGTTTCTCTTTCGCACTTTCCCTTGCACCCACTTTATCCTTTTCTTTTTTTTTTGTTTTCCTTTGTTTCATTCCATTTTTTTCATTTTTGGCTCTCTTCTGTTTTTCCCTTTCCCTTTTTTTGTTCCGTTTAGTTCCCTCTCCCTCTTCCTTTCTTTCATTCCTTTCTTTTAAACTTCCCTTTAATTTAAACACTTTTCTTAAAAAATTATAAAATTTTTTTTAAGTTACATTTTCGTTTCAGTGGTTCCCTTGTAGGAATGTAAGTAAATTTTTATTTTAAACTTATTTTTTTTCGCATTTAGTACTTAATCTTCCTTTTTTTTTATAGATTTTATCTTCATTTCGGCCTTCAGACATTTGGGAATTTGCGTTTTTGTTTAGAAGGCCAAAAAATGTGTTGAAATTCAGCATTTTTTTCATTGACGAAACATTTATTAATGTTTGGAGTTTTTCTTTTTTTTTTAAACGATTTTCTGGATTTATTTGGACGCGTGAGTCTCTTTGGCTTTTTGACTCAGGATTTTGGTAAAATACTAATTTTTTATTAATTTTTTTTATTTTTAATGAACTTTACTAAAAGTTTATTTCTTTTTCTTTTTTAGGCAGTTCTTCGGCTCTTCAACAAGGGATTTTGGTAAGACAATAAGATGATGTTTTTTCTTTCTTTATTTCTTTAACATTCATTTTTTCTTCTTTTTTTAGGCGTTTCTTTCGGTCTTGAAAGGGTAATTTTCTTTTAACTTGGGATTTTGGTAGGCTAATTATTTTTACTTTAAGTTATTCTTTAACGAAGTTTACTAACTGACCGTTCATTACTTTTATTTTATAGATGGCCGTTCTTTGAAAGGCGAGTATCTTTTTTTTATTTATTTTTTTTTATAAGAAATGTTATTCATTTCTTTTTTTTTTTTGTAGGTTCGTTTCAGTTTGAAAACTGAGAAACGGTCCAAATGGTTAGTTTCACAAAGTTATATTTCATTTATCAGCTTTAATTTCTTTCTTTGAGAAACATTATACTAACGTTTCTTCTTTTGTTCTTTGTAGGTATTCTCTGGATTCCTTCTGACCAGTTACGTGATTAGATTCTGAAGTTTCATTTCAAACTTCAGTTTGTTTTTTTTTTAATATTTTTAAAGAAACGTTACGTTTCTTTATTTATTTTTGTAGGTTTCCTTCAGCTTTCGATTTTGGGTTGGAATGCCAGGTAAGCTTCGAAGAAGCTATCTTTTTAGTTTTTCTGAAAACGTCTTATTAATGTTTCTTTATTCTTTTTGTAGGTCCCTCCTTCTGGCTTTAATCTCGGATTTCTATTACAGGTAGTTTCAAAATATGGTTGGTGAAGTTTTGTAACAATTTTCGGTATGAAACTTTAAAATATTTTTTTTGCTTTTTAAGAGGAACGTTTCTAACGTTCTTTATTATTTTTTTTTTAGGTTCTGTCCAGTGTTGAGCTATGGATGCAGAATCGGTAAGTTTCACAACGTTTTGTTGTGAAACAATTTTTTTTATTTTATTTTATTAATAGAAACGTTTTCTAACGTTTCTTCTTCTTTTCTTGTAGGATTCTTGAGAATTTGCTTGATCGGGTATCAGTAACAGGGAAACTTTTATTTTTTTTTATATTAATATTTTAATAGAAACGTAAACTTCACTTGTAGGTTAGATTTGATTAGATTAGTATATATTTAGTATAGATTTAAAAATGTATCATTTGTTATTGAATAACGCAATAAATAAAATAATCTAATTNTGTAGGTTAGATTTGATTAGATTAGTATATATTTAGTATAGATTTAAAAATGTATCATTTGTTATTGAATAACGCAATAAATAAAATAATCTAATTTAACAATCTAAAATTATTTAATCATGAATAAATACAATGATATTTAACTATAAATAATATAACGCTATTTAGCCTGTAGTGATAATTATCGATTTTTAACTGTATTGATGATTATTGTCAATTTAATCTGATTTATCCATATCGATACTACTCGACGAGTGCGATTATTATCGATATGTGTCACGTGATCTTTTATCGATATATATTCCCCAAAAAAATTTCCTGATGTATTGTAAGAAAAGGTTATATTATTTAGTTTCTTTATGCTTAAAATAACAAAAATGTAAAGTAGTAGTGTTCGAATGAACACAATTTTTTCGAATGAAGGAAGCTATATGATTAGTTATATGAGGAAACGTATAAACTGTTAAAAAAACTTTACTTTATTATTATATATATAAGCAACCTTTACTTTTTACAATAAATTACGTTTAACATATTTAATAATAATATACATTTTGCAATTTATTAGTAAATAATACCTTCTAATTGGTATACGACGCTGTAATAACTGAAAATATAATAAATAAATGACGCAGTAAATCCTGTGGCACAGTAGGTCACATGATATGGTTACACAAGAAGAAATAGTTAGGAATACAAAAGTCACGTGACAAGTCACATGGCGCAGTAATTGACGGATAAATATTTAGCCGATGGATAAATAATTAGCCAATAAAATTATATTTATAGTTTAGTTTAGTGTAACTAGATAGTCATATGATAATAGATCTTCAAATTTTATTAGAAATATTAGAAATATTAGAAATATTTTTCTTAAAAATGTATAAATACAAGTGGATTTCGATAGGAAATTCCGCAGTTAAATTTTTGGAAAAATAAAATTTTTAGTTCGCCCTTAATAAAAACAAACACATTCTTTTTGCCTTTTTCTTATGAGTAAAAAGTGCCACATTAATAATTTATTTTATTAATGGTTTATTAATGTTTTGTAACTAAATTTTATTTTAAACCAAGCATAGATATTATACGAACTTAACACGTCGGTGGCAACATACGATATTTTATTTTAATATCCTATGGGCGGCGTGTCACATTTTGGTGCATGCTCCGAGAAAATAAAAGATTGTTGTCTTCATACAAGATCTAAATGAGAAATAAAAGAAAAGTATATGAGAAAATGAAAGAAAAATTTGTGAAATTAATAAGAAAAGATTGATATGAGAAATCATCAAAGAAATATAAGAAAGGAAGGATGATATGAGAAATCATCAAAGAAATATAGGAAAGGAAGGATGATATGAGAAATCATCAAAGAAATGATAAGATAAGGAAGACTTATCTGAAATATGAGAAAAGTGTTACTATATATGAAAAAGGATATAGTAAAAGAAAATGTATGAGAAAAATTAAAATATTATTGAATGATATATGAGAAATAAGAGAAAGTAATATTATGAAAAAGAAATATTACAGAATATATGAGAAATGAAATATACGATATATTGAAAAAGTATATATCGAAAGATAAATGAAATATTCAAGATAATAATGAAAAAATTTAAAAATTAAATGAAAATAAAATTTATAATGAGAATGAATTTTGTGAATAATAAGAAGTTAATAAATGATTGAAAAATTCAAAAGTATTATGAGAAAAAGAAAAGTTATTAGTAACAAACCCGTAAACTACTATACTTCTATGAAGAAGGTAAAGGCAAGCCCTGTACATGTTACTAAATTAAAGAGAAAATTAAAGGATATTGTAAATACGAGAAATATTGAAATGTTATTATTTGATATATGAGAAATAATTTGATTACAATAAAAGAATGATATAAAAGATTATAAAAGATAATAATAAATTATATGAAATAAAATGATGTAATAATGATGTAATAAAAGAAATTGTGTAAGCATGTTGCGTAAACAAAATAAAATGTTGTACAAATCACGTGATTAATGTAAATCACGTGATGAAGCGCAGTAAAAGAAATATATAGCTGCCCCTTGGGCAGGGGCGACTGATTAATAAAAATATAAATGAATAAGAATATAATAGAAGAAATAGTTGTGTCACCAGGGGCGTTATGTCAACAGAAATTTTAGTACGTTGATCGCTTAAAAATCCGTGGCTATCCAATTATAATAAGAAAATATTAATGAATTATAAAATGAAATGCGAGAAATAAAATAATATGAAATAGATTTGAAACAAATATTTTAGGAGTTAATATAACACTGGTAAAAAAATGGTCTATCCTACACATATCCTACACATATCTTACATATATCAGGTACTCAAAATGTAGAAAATCATACACAAATAATACACATATCATACACATATCGGGTACTTATATAT